TTTTTCATAGCTTCTTCAACTGTACAGGGTGCGCGAGATATTTGAGAACAAACTTTATACTCTTAAATCTGTCTGGAAACATGACTTCGCCTTCGACTGCATCTATGTCATCTATCCAGTGTATCAATTTAAAAATGGCAACTTCCGGTGGTCTGACGCAAGAAATGAAAAGGCGTGCCGCCCTGGTTGCCTTGGCTGCCAAGCACAGAAATTTGGATATAGCCATCTTCTTGAATGTATCAAGGCCTTCCGTTTTCAAGGTCAGAGAACAGCTTTCGGATTCTGATAGGGAGGTTGCATCCGTGGCCAAGCGAAAAAGACATCTCTAGCGGTCAGATGTCGTCAGGACGGCCGAGTTTGTCCAGCTGGTGCAGGACATTGTGAACGATGATGCCAGCAAGTCAACGAAAGCTGTGGCCAAGCAGTAGAGTCCATTATCAGGCTTGTGATGCATGAGGACCTTAGATACCACTTTATATCCCAAGACACCAAGAAAAATCATGTCATCCGGTCTAAGCGCTTGTTGAACAAGCTCAAGCTCCCTAATGAACCGGACGTGCTTTGGGGTTTTTTCTCACAAGAACATTGATGAAGACCAAAAGGCCGACAGGAGGACTGACAGGTACCTTTGTATGTATCCCAGTGAGGTCCCTATGGTCTTGCAGAGGAAGTTCTCATCGCCTGTGATGGTCCTAGCTGTTGTGAGCAGCAAGAGTGATGTTATGCTGCCGTGCTCCTTTGAATAGGGCCTTTGGGCCAACTCAAAGGCTTACGTCGAAGCCTAGGAACTGTAGTAAAACATTGGATAGAAGGGGTGGCCCAGAGGAGGTTGCAGATTTTTCAACAAGACTCTGCTCCATGCCACGCAGCCCAAGATTGGCTGGCTGACAACCTCCACGACCACCTCAACCACAACTGGTGCCCTCCAATATCTCCAGATGTAAACCCCCTTCGACTATTATGTCTGGGTCGTTGTCGAGAGAGAGACTAAGAAAAAGCCCCACAACCCCAAGGATTCCTTAAAGGCTGCCATTGGGGACACTATGGCCAACATCAGCAAAAACCGCTTAATCAGGGCACTCGGCCGTTTTCAAAGCCACATCGATTCAGTCATTGCTGCTGAAAGTGGTTTTATCAAATGAACTTTGAGTATACTAAAAGAAAACATCAGTACCAAATTCCGTGCAAATAGATTAGTATATTCCTGAAACATCTTTTTTTTTTTGGTGCTAAAACCACCGTTTTGCTCTCAAATACCTCGCACACCCTGTACATTCAGTTCGTTCCTGCTATTAAATCAGCAGAAAGCATTGTTAAGTAATGACCAATATTTGTGGAACGTTGGTCATTCCAAGTTTTGAGAGTAATTTGATATTGTGCAAGATCGGGAAGTAAGTATGTGGCCCAAGCTACAAAGAAGGTTTCAAGCTTATCTTGAGGGTATATAGTTTGAAGGATATTGTGTTTTTGTTTTTGAACCTTATAGCACCTGTTGAGTGCCCACAGTGAGCAGGTATTGGGTTATTAGGTGCTATGTTTAATGTCTTAAATTTTGTTTGATATCTGTAGTAGATTTAACTTTGCCCTTCATAAATGTCTTGCTGTTGTAGTCACATTCGCTCCTGGTTCTGTACTCTCTGTAATTTTTTAATTACACACAACACAATGTTTTGTTTAAAGCAAGCTAGAATTTACCAGTTCGACCCTTTTACTTCCAAACATTATCCTTTTTGTTAGACAGTATCTACTTTGATGGCAATTGTGAAAAGGCTGCAAGTGCATGGTCATTCGTGGAAATGGAGCATGCTGGTTAAGTTACGGTGTTAGAGGAGAATAACATGGAGGACGGAGCCCCGGACGTCCAGTTTTCATCCTCTGTTATTCTCCCCTAACATCGCATGGTCAGATTTCTATACTTTTGTATGTTAGTGATAGTCGAGCTAAGGCTAGAGTGCGGCTATGTCGCTTTGAAGTGTGTTTTGGCTGCATGAGCGAAATAGCCTTTTGGTGCAATGGGTATGTGTCAGTAGGGGGGGATCGGTGGCCGAGTGGTCTAGCGCACACCAGCTTGGAGCACGTGGAGTGAAAGCTCGCGCTGCAGAACCCAAGGATCTTGGGTTCGAGCCCCACCCCTGCCCGTTTCGATCTGGATGAGCATCGTACCGGCGTGCGGTCGTGTATCACTACTGCATGATGCACGTTAAAGACCCCAAGCTAGCGGTTGTACCGCACTGGCTAAATTTCTCATCTACAGCTGGGAGACTCGTCGCCCCTGTGAGGCAGACCAAGTTCTAGGCTGTATAAACATACACACAACCCAATTTTTATGTGTCAGTACCCTTGGGTTGATCACAGCATTTTACCGTGTTTTCTGGACTATAGTCCGCACCTGGTCCATAGTCCGCAGATACAAATTTGGGGTCAAAAATAAAAATTTTTACTTGGATAGTCTGCACTCTGTGCATAGTTCGCACCTGCTGCTTAGTCGACACAAAAGTCTTCTCATAGATGGCACACCTAGACAAATGTCTGCTTTTTTAGCTCACAAAGAAACCCATAATATACATAAATCATCATTAACATACTCATTCATTCACAAAATCGATCTCGTCTCGTCATAATCAATGATATTGAAAAACAAAAGTCCTGTATAGTCCGCACGCATAGATAGATAGTCCGCACAGCGTAAAATTTCAACTTTTGAACATGCATAGTCCACGGACTATAACCCGGAAAATGCGGTAATTGAAACAGAGTAGATTTAGCTGCTTCATTTTTGGGTTTGATATTTTACAATATTTGAGGGGTGAACATCAGGCTAGAGGTAACATGCATCATTTTTGGATTTGATACTTTATAATATTTAAGGTGTAAACATGAGGCTTTATTTTTTGGAGGCGAAATACGGGAAATGATTGGGTCTTTTCGCCCATGAATTTTATAGCTCACAACCTCTGTTACTATTTCTTCCAGAAAAGAGAAAAAGCTTTATTTAATTGACTGGTGGGATAATTTACCCCATTGATTACTGCTATTTTATACAACAGACGACCTTGGTTATGTCCCCTGCCCCAATTCATTTACCGCCTTTTACAATCATCAGTATATTACTAAGTCATGTTTCCTTAATATAGACGCATCCATTCCCAGAAAAATTGTGCATAGTGCGAGTCGTCCATAATCACGAATCGGCCCGTGACAGTCTTTACCAAAAGTATTGGGGCGAGGGCGTAGATGGCTTTTGCATAACCCAGGCATTTGGAGGAGAGGGGAAAGAGGAACTTCCCTCATGTCCAGACCTTCCCTTACGTGTCCCAGATGTTGCTTTGTCCCTCCAGAAAGTTAGCAATCAAAATTTGTACAAAAGCGGCATTCTTCTCTCTGCCGCCCATGCCTTCGACAGCACTGCACGCACCTAGTGGTTCACGTGTCTCCCTCCGATGTGCTGATTGACTCGCTTGGAACGTAGCCTCCGCCGTTTGCCAAGTTGAGGTGGAATGGAGTGTAGGAGAAATTAGTTTTCTGGGTCCAAAGCTTGCCTCCCGATCCCCAAACAGTGATGAGTTCTACAGTGAGGTGACCTAGCTCCTGTGGGGTTCGTTCTTTGTTCCCGGTTGTTGGTCATACACAATCACAATCAACAATGGACTGCCAATGGTAATGACCCATTCTGCGTAAAAGACAGCAGAAATGGCCTTTGGTGCGCAGCTCTTATCGCTGAACCTGCTATGAACGTCCGGGTGCACTGACGTCTTGGGTTCACTGATATCTCAAAAAAATTTGGGAATTTTTTTTTTAAGTGGCGTACTGGCATTTATAATGACAAGACAAAAATGCCTGTATCTGCCCAATTCATCCCCAAAATACTTGTCCATAGTCTGAACTGCGGGCTTTCATATTAAAGGGACAAAATTGCACGATGAACGATTGGTCGCAAAAGCTTTGTCCACGATGGACTCCGTTAATATGGAATTTTGTCCATATTAATGGGGTCCACATTAACGAGACATGATTGCATAGGCCTGTTTTGATTTCTCAAATGGTTTTAAAATAAAGGCTCAAGAGACCACCATATATATTTTTTTTTGCTTTTTGCTTTGATGAGACATAAGATGAAACTTTAGTTCTTCAAAATTGTTCGCGGTTACTGAATTTGGGTTTTCATGGAACTTGTTTGCTTGGATCACATCAGTACACAGACAACAGAATCTTCTACCAGAGCTACAAGTTCACACATAAAGGTTTTCTGAAACATGCTTAGGGGAGTACAGGCAGACTATACTTAATTTCATCTTATGATAGACCAGAGCATGGACTGCGAGCCATCCCAGCCAGTCCAGCACTGTGAACATGTCACGTGACCAACTGCCCTGCACGTCGTTGCACCACTGTCTAAGGTCGTATGACACACGCACGGCATTGGATTGGCTTCGATGGCTCATGGCACCCTCTGTTTTCTATCGTAAGGTGAAACGGAGTATAGGCTGTTCATAGCCCTCAAGGAGTTGATGACAATCTTTAACATACGAGGAGTAATCTCAATGATATCATGTGCCAGTCATATCTGTATATTACCCTTTCTCGTGCAGCTTCTGGAGGTACAAGAAATGTCTCACATTTGAGATTGGTCCTGTAACGGCTGTGCAATCGGTACTTGCCTAGTAGTTGTAATCTTGTGTAGAGTCAAGTATTAAGATGTTTGGGGGAACTGTAGAGCTATTGTGTAGACTAAGGTAACCTAGGAAATTGATCTGGAGCAGCAGCATGCAGATAACGGTGGTGGGCTGGGTAGCATTAGTAAGAAACAATGTTCTGCACATGGAGTTGCAAAAAAGTCAGCACTGTGTGTTAATTGCACATCTCTTAATTTTTTCATACATACTTTTAGAATTTGTTTTGTAAAAAGTGCCCCCCTCCTCCTCCTCCAAGAAAATTTCTAGTCATGCCGTGAGACCTAACTTCGGGCCTGGGTACTATTCCCCACTTCTCACACCATTCAGGCTTTTCGCCCTGGAAAGCTTCAGAGCCAACTAGAACAGCTGGAACAGAAGCTTCAAGAACAAGTTCGTGCAAATGCAGAGCTCTTAGGCAACCTACGTGACCTGAAGAAACGTAAGTTGCTTGCTTCCTCAACATATTCTGCAAAGGACTTGACACGCTTAGATTTTGTTTGGCTGCTTTGCCACTCATTTAGATAGAGCAGCCAGTCAGCAGAGTTGTCCATGTAATAACCAACTGGAACACAGCAAAAATGGAATCAATAATAGAAATGCTAATGCCCTGAGTGCTTAGAGAAACAAACGCTCAGGCCAGGGGTCAGCAACCGGCGGGCCTGGTCCGGCCTGCGAGGCGATATCATGCCCCCCTTTCCAAAGACACACACAACAATCTGCAGGTCAAATAGTATGTTTGGTTCCACACCTAATAGATCAGCCATATTAATTGTGAACAAATTGATCCTATTTACCAGATAGAGTGCGCTGATCAGCTGATCCCCGAACAGACAATACCATATTCACTCCAGTAATAGCTGCACTATTTATGAACAAGGCCTTTTCATCTGCTTTCCCACAGAACACATATACAGCCAATCATTGCGTTGCACATAAATAACATGGCGAATAGCCATATCGAGAACACAATCCTCTCTACAAATGCAATCAACACAGATGGTATCTTCGCACAAAAACATTATTTCTCTCCTGTAAACAGCTGAACTCATGCTGTAGATAGCAGTGATTGGCAATCTGCATGCTCCGCGGCAAAGCAAACACTCAGGTTTTCTTCATAAACAGCGCAGCTATTACTCGAGTAAATGCGGTAAGCTGAAGAATGCATTTGCAGCAAACGACTTCGTTAAGTTTTTCGCTGGCCTGGCTAAATTGAAGATTTACAAATTTATGAGACCTCACTGCAACCTTGAATGAAGTGTCCACTTCTGTGAACATGCTTTTTCCAGATGACTGTGAAGTCAAATGGGGATCTTGTGGTTGACAGATGAGCACCTCAAAAATGTTTTATGACTTCCAGTTTAGAGTTCTAGTGCGAGCGTTTGCATCTTGGCAAGCACTATTGAACACCTAATATCTTATGAGAAGGGGCTCAAGCAATCATATGTGTGCCGTTATCAAGAGATCATCTTTGCATATCATTTTGAGTAGGTGACAGTTTTTCTTATCTGTTATTTCTCTGGCCTGACTCTCCCCCCCCCCCCCCCCCCCCTTTTTTTCTCTCAATCTCCGTTTCTCCATCGGGCTCTTTCTGACTCCACTCTCCACTTTGCGGCGATTTGGTCCACAGCAGCAACAGGTAGCCGACCCTAGTTTAGACCCTTTGAAAAGGCCGGCCTTCAAAGGTTCTGACACGCAGTAAGCCAGAGAGGTCCTCAACATAAAGAGATCATTAGCGGCACACAAGAATGCGGGATGGGATGACTTGCAGCTGACATATTTTCACGGATCAATCAAACATTGTACCACTTGCAGAAAGTCACTTTTGTCAGTGTGGGAGTTCAAGGGGACAATGATGAGGCCCATTTGTCACATCTACTTTGAATGAGATGATTCATTCACAAAAGGGACTCTTGACATGTCCTTAGTGCAAACAAGTTATGACACTGCTCTGGTTTACTTTTATTCAAGGTTTGAAGTTTTCAGGTTTTTTTGTTTTTTTTTTCCATATTTGGTGATCTTTTTTCAGTTTTTATCTAGAAAGTAAATTTTTTTGTTTTGTGAATATTTCTACATAACAGAGATTACAGTTTTTTTTTTCCACTGATGTGTCTGGTATCTCCATTCTACCTAAGACTGTATGGGGTCCTTTTTTCCTTTAATACTAGGCATATATTAAAAGATGGTTGTGCGTAGTACGCTGATCTCGTCTGGAGTTTGTCGCTGCCACATGAAGAAGATGACAATCCTGAAACTGTGTGATTGCACCTCACATGTAACAAGATAAGCTCATAAATTAGTGCTTCTATTTGTCACACTAGTGTGTTCAACATTAAGACAGTGATGAATGACAAACAAACAAGTAGAGCTGAGGCAAATATTCAGTCTTCCAAGTGTTAACATAATCTTTATTATAATTTGTAATATATCACAGTCTGAGTATCATTACCAAGGCATTGGCCGTTCATAAGTACGAAAATAAACAAATAAATGTATGAAAATAAATGGATAACAAGAAATCTTTAACCTCACTGGTCATCTAGATCACAATTAGTTTATATGGCTGTAATAAAAAAGCGCAAAATTTGAAAGATTTTTTTAGGAAGTAGTGCATCTGATTGTTTTCTGTTTCTAACTGTCAGTTCCGGAAACACCTTCTTGCCATGTGCCACTGCCACGCATGCCGTTCTGTCTGAGTGACTGCCCTAACGCTCGAAACTGACAAGAGGTTGGGGTGAAATACTACAGTAGCTAAAGTTTGCCAATCAGACAAATGTGAGCACAAAAACACAACCGGTATCAGGCTTCGAAGCACTGCATACTCCACATACGAAATCGGGGTTGCAGTGCATGAATCTCGTCATGAACTTTGGTAGAAAATGTGAGAATGCTCTCGTCCACTGTGAAGTTGTGAGACATTTCGGTCAATGGAAACCATTCAAACCCCATCCGATATGAGAGTGGACATGGCACATAAGCATCGGCCATAAAGAGCAAAGGTTAACCCCTGTAGTCTGTGTATCGTTCAACCTCCCTCAGCACAACATAGGGCGGTCCCGAAGGTAGCCGACGGCTCGATAAGGAAGTGCGTTGTAAGGTCACGCAAGGCGTATGGTTTTGATCGTTGGTTTTCATCATATGGTTTCATCATACGGTTTTGATCATATGGTTTGATCTGAAAACACCAAGCCCTGTTTATATTGTATTTTTTTTTGAGGGTAGGCACACCGAATTTTGCAAATGCTGGTACCCAGCCATGAAAATGGTATCCAGTGAATGAGCACTTCTGCAAAGCAGTAATTTAAGTTGTGTGATCAGTTTGTGCTTATTATAGCCTGTTGTGTATTTTTCGTTTTTTGAAAGATTTCACATTATATTAGCAATTGTGACATGTAATACCTCATGTAATACCCCTTCTTCCAGGGGCCTTTGAGGAAAATAAAATAAAATAAATAAATAAATAACAAGTGCTCCCAAATTGTTCTGTTTGATTTGTTTTGCTGAAATTCGTCATTTGTTATGTTCTACTTTGAATATGGCTATTACAGAAAGCAGGACGGCACTTTGGGTGATGGGGTTGGCATCATTAATGTTTTTGTGACTAAATGATGGGGCACTGGCACGAGGTGTGGATTTTAAAAAAGAAAGCTGAAGGATACTTCATTGAATTGCCAGCATCCACCATACGAAAATAAAGAGAGGGTTGGAAAAATTGAAACCACTCGCAACAAAGGATTGTGAGAATTGAGTTATATAAGGGACGGTACCTCAAAGATATGCAATCTTTATAGAAGTTCCCTTTTATTATTAAAGTTTATCTTTTTTTTTTCGTTATGAGCTGCTTTAATGGGATATTACTTGGGTCGTCTCTGCAGTCTTTATTATACGTCGTGGTGGCCCACTTGGGGCTGCTCCTTTGACACAATCTCCGAGACAGCCGACCTTGAATGCCGAGATAGGATGGGCAGACGGCGTTAATATGAAGCCGCAGGATTTATTTCTGCATCTTTTATCTCGAGAAAGTTCACACAGCCTAGATGTGATTTTGTGTTTGCTTTGTTTTATTTCCATTGATAGCAGTAATGTAAGCTGATTATGGACCATGGGCATTTGTCTCATCTATGTCAACGTTTTATGCATGACTTGTGATTGAGACCTATGCTGTAGTTTCTATGCGCTGAGAAACAGAGAGAGGAGACAAGAGCGCGCAGAAACGTCACAACGCCAAGCTCTGGTTATAATAATTGAAATAGTTAAAATAAGCTAGCTGCCTTTATGTTCACTGCGCTCGTCGAACGCATTCAAATGCAAGAGCCAAAACGCCAGCCAGAACTCGGCGTCTTACGTCTCCTCGCGCTCTTGTCTCCTCGCCCTCAGTTTCTCGGCGCATACGATTGGTCATCCCTTATGAAGGAAGTCTCGTGTGTGTTTTTCTCCCTAAGCATGTGGCATACGAAATAGGTACAAAGTACAGAGGCACCAATACTCAAGGTTTTATCACTTGGGTCATGTTGCAAAGTTTACTCAATCTCGCTCCAAAGTAAAGGGTTTGTACGTTGGTGTTCGGAAACCTACTGGCTTGCAGTTTTGCTCTGTCTGTGTTATCAGCCATGAGACAAGCTAGAGTAATTTTGATTAATTTGAGTAAGATTTGGAACACAGCCAGTGTAACATAGTGAAGTACTGCTGTGTAAATGAGCCTCCACAAGGCCATAGTGCTGGGACTTTAAGTCACCTACCAGGGTCCAGTACGGTGCACAGATTAGACACCAGCGTTGCTTCAGCGTTGGGCTGGCACTTGCGTTCGACTGCTCAGGACGGAAATGCTGTTTCAGCGTTCACAGGGTGTCTAGCTACCGGGAATTGTCAGGAAAATTTTAATTGCCGGGAAAAATCAGTGAATTGTCAGGGATATTGTTTAAAAGCACGAGCTGAGTCAGAGAAAATGAGCCGGAAATGCCATCAAGTGTCCTGAGCAAAGACTTGGACTTGGGGGCAGAAAAGTAGGCAATAAATTCTGCTTAGAGCGGAGCGCAGGCTTTGCTTACCCGATGTAGAGTGTGCTGCCTAATGGAAAGAGAACGACCGACAAATCCAGTCTTAAGCCTTGGACTGCATTACATTGAGGGTGCGACACTAAGCTAGATCTAATTAGAGCTACTAGATTTATTAGCAAATGGAAAAGCCGCAGACCCCAATTCAATTCAATCCAAGCCTTAAGCTGAAAGTATCCGAAAGTGTGCATCTGGCGGCCATGCTGCCATTCGGTTATTGACGTGTATGGTTGAGCGTCGTGTTTTCATAGTGTTTCTGGAAGTGGCATCTTCACTGACGATGTATGCGGGAAGGAAGTGCTCGTTTAATTAATCCGGACTGGACGAACTCGAATATTTCAGAATATGCAAGTTGGATTAAGTCCGTGCAAAATGATCCTCACAGTGCTCAATGCCTTGTGTTTTAATGGTCTTATATATTTAACCAACTCTACAATGGTTAGAAAATTTCACCTGAAATTATCAAAAAAAACCTGGAAGAGTCAGGGAATTTCAAAATAATAATTTGCTAGACACCCTGGTTCAGCAGGGACTCATGTACCATCAGCAATGACATGAGTTCTTGCTAAACGCTGACGCAGTACTCGTGCGACGGCGTTTCGTTACAGGAGCGCAAAAGTGGAAACTGCTAGGGGCCGGCTGTATAATACATTCTGTGTTAGAGAACACACAAGTGCTTCTAGGTATACTGTCGGCAGACATTATGTGAAGACATCTTCTTCACTGGATACAGTCTGGCTATTCAATTCAGAACTAAGATAACAGCAGAGAGTGGCATGCAGGAGACGCGGGACGCAACTCCCCGACAAACCACAGCCCGTTGCACAAGTCTCTCCAAACAAATTTTTGACAAAGTTCTTCTGAAACTTCCTATTAGCAGCTTTGAAGGTCCCTTGGGTGCGAGCAGCAGCACTTAAGGACTTGCGGTTGTCTCCTGTCCTTGCGTTTACTGTCCTTCATACGTCCAGACAGCCAATTATACTGGTTTAGGGAACGCAGTATTGAACCCAAGGGTGTACCTAGTCTACTCTGAGATTTTGCATGCATATGTGATCGTCGTGATTGGAATAAACAGGCAATGCTTTGAGTCCGGAAGTTCTTTTGTATCTCCTCAAACTCTGCTTGTGTCTAAATCGCTTTGATTAGACATGTGCGACCTGTTTGGCACTGCACGTGCACAGGGTTTCTTCCTAACAAATCCACACTATGTCGGTGTAAGTGGGTGACTGAGAACACTGTGTGGCCTGTTTTGCAGAGCTTTCCGAACCTTCCAATGACACGGGCGGTCGTCAGTCTGGGGACAAGCCTGTCATCGCGGTCCTGTTATTTGCCTGCAACAGGGTGACGGTGAAACGGCCCATAGACCAGCTGATCCAGTGAGTGTGAACTGTGTGGGCCAGGAGGCAGGCGTACAATGACCGACCGCTGTACCGTTGCAGATATCGCCCTTCCAAGGAACAGTTTCCGATCATTGTGAGCCAAGATTGCAATCATGCCATGACCACCAATGTCATCAAGGCATACGGCAATGAACTCACTCTTATCAGGGTAAGTGAGCTAGACATTGGCCGTGCTCAGTTTGATTCAGATCACCCGAAGGAGATGCCCTGACATTCCTAATCTGTCGGTGAGCACGGTGGTGAGATCGATGGTGGTTGCCTTTGCGACTTTGGTTGATGAAAATCTTTGGCAGCTTCATCCATTCAGGGTACGTCAAAAGAATAAACAGAATGGACAACTGGTTGAGTTGTCACGCATTTGTAATTTGAAATGGCAGCTTTCTTGAAGTGCTGTCATTTTATTTGGGGCTCATCATTATCGGGTGGCAGGACGAGGTATTCGTGCGGAAATCTGGAATGTGTACCGGGCCCAGGGTTGCACCTCTACTGAGTAAAGGCCCGTTCATGCACGTGCGACTCCTTAGAACCGAGTGTCTTAAAACCTCTTAAACTCCCTTACAACTGGAAAACACACTACAACTGGAGAACACACTACAACTGGAGAACACACTGACATGCTGGCTCCATCTATACGGTGACTGTGGAACTTCATTCCACTAGAGCAAAGGTTTGGCAGTATTTACGATTTCAAATGTATGTACTACTCGTGAGAGAAGTTCGTTTGTAACAGTGGTCTCAAACTCGTTTGAGTGTAGGGGATGGATATCTCACAGTTGAAAGGTTGAGGGCCAACGTAAGACGCCGGGGTAAGGGGAGGGGGGGAGGGGGCGCAAGAGAGACATCGTGCTTTATGCTTTTTGTAAACTCAGCCTTGCCAGTGACATCTTTGGATTTGATTTGTTTATAAGACTGCTTTGGACCCTGACCTGATATTATAAGAATTGAAATGACAGTGCCCCGCCAACGTGCTGGCATTTTTAATGGAACAAGTACACTGTCGTTCCCGTTGCTCAATTCACCCAGGAATTAACCAAGCCCCACATGTCCCTAAAAACAAGAAGTTAATATGACAGTTGTTGCTTTCCTGACGGTTTTACTCCAACACTTGAACAAATGGTTGTCTTTTAATGGTGATATATTTTTGAAGGCGAGAATCCCAAGCTCCTAGCTTTATCTCTGGCAGTTGCTCCTGCTGATCAAGAGTTTGCGCAGCCGAGAGGCATCCTTCAACGAATAGCCTGCGCATGCAGCCTAGTAGTGGAATTGTTGTACATTACAAAAAGCTGGGATGCAAAATATAAAGCAAAACAGTACATTACAAAAAGCTGGGATGCAAAATATAAAGCAAAACAAAGGGCAAATGAACATAGATAAGTATAAACTATGTGAATACGGTAAAAGAGCAAGGCTTGCGCTAGAAATGGCATGTCTCATCTAGTCGACAAGATGAGACATGCCATTTCTAGCGCTCGAGACATCGGAACCGGGACTCGAAGCCGGTTGCCTGCGGGCAGCGTCCCAGCAAGTAGTGGGCCGCGTATTTGAGGCGTCTGGTTTATAACATTCACAAATTTTTTCAAGCCAAGAAATTAAGAATATTCTTTCTTTGTTTCTTTGTTCAGAACAGTAAACGAAAATCAAACTACTTTCAATCTATCCGAGTGAAAAGCAGTCCAGCTGTGCGTAAGGCAGCAGTAGCATGAGACTACCAAACCGCAACCTGTCTTTCGATTTAAAATGCGTTCCATTTCTTTTTTTGTCGAAGTGCTTGTGGGACCAGGAGGGAGGCGGGAAGGAGTAAGGGGGGGGACGGGGGGGTAGGGAGGGACAGGAGCCGCGAGCTGCATTTTAGCACACGAAGAGCCGCAGCTTGACCACCTCTGATATATAACCTTAACTTAATGTACAGCTCCCAGAGTGTCAGTCATTCATGACGCTCGTTCCCGACGCTCGTTCCCGACGTTCTCGTAGGAAATGACTCATAAAACAGAATCTGCGTTAAGAGGAGGGACCAACTTGCGGAAATTGAGCTTCCTCGACTTTATTAGATAGTGAGGTTGAATTCTCAGATTGGGGGGGGGGGGGGTGAGCGTTGGCAGTGTATAGCTGACAGCACCGAGGTTCCTCGGCACTCTTTAAAGGTTGCCGGGGGTCCCCGAGACCAAAAAGTTTGAGAACCCCTGACCCATGCCATAAGCAGTTGCACACAAGGTTTTCTAGAACTGAAATTTTGGAGCTTGCATTATTCAGATTTTCTTTTTACAAAAGGCAGAAATATTGTAGTATGCCTATGACAAGCAATTCAATCTCTGTTCTTTTTGACAAACTGATCTGCAACGGGCCACATGCTTGCTTCAGAGTAGTAACATTGGCTTGTCTGCATTTATGTCAGCCTGCTAGGCTTTGTGTACTATTTGTGAGGGTAGGCACTTCATGAATATTGTTTTGGTTTCGCGTTTTGTGTGATGACTGAGGCATTGATAAAGGATGCTTGTTTCTAGCAACCCGACCAGAGTGACATTCCACTAGTGGGCAAGGAGAAAAAGTTCAAGGGTTACTACAAGATAGCACGACATTATGGCTGGGCTTTGAATAAAACCTTTCATGACCTCATGTATGACACAGTGATCATCGTTGAGGGTAAGTGTCTTCAAGTTTTTCTGCTTACGTTAATAGTTTTTCTATGCTTCCCTAATTAAAACAGAATGGCATAACTGGACAAATACATAATGCTTCTGCATTCTTTAATAATATGAGCTGCCCATAAATGGGCGAAGAACTTCCGTGTACAGATTCAAGAAATGTAAGTGTGAAAGAAATTTGCTGGAGCTATACTGCTCTCCACAAACGGGAGCTCAAAAAGATATAGGGTGAGCCAATCATTTTGAAACAGCGTCAACCAGTCAAGTATGTATTGTAGATGGTTGCAACTCCTTAAAAAAGTTTTGCCAGACAATGTTCCTATCAGCTTAGAGGCCTCGGGCTAACAAGCTTGCACATGTGTGTTACATTACAAGCATACAAAGTTGAAACACCAATGGGCCAGGAGCTTTATTTTTGCTGCATAGACCGACACGCGGCCCTGACGTCACGCAGCTGCGGTGGCGCTGTTGACGGCACTGCGCATGCGCAGACGCTTCACTTCACGCGAATTCGGTTTCTGCGCTCGCGCAGTGCTCACACCTGGTGTGGGCAAACGCGGGCTTGTTTGTAAACAGCGTGTCGGTCTATATTTTCAAGAACAAAAGCAAACCAATTTTTTAATGCGAAGGCATTAATTGGGGGTCTCGTGGAGCTAGCTGACGCCATCAGCTTTGAAACCATGCAAAACGGCACCTTAATAAAACCATGCGCAAAGCTAGCCAACGGCACCTTTTACACTTTTGTTCCATTGGCTGGTACACGTCAACGAGGCTCCCATTGGCTGCTGTGAGTCAGATTGTTTGGTGTCATCCTGACTGTGTTATCACACTGTTCTGCTACCCTGATCACCACGTTCGCTTGCCTCTTATCAGATGTACGGCTCGTGGCAATATATACGGTGCATGGAATAAACCAAGGGGTTTGTTCTGCTGGGAACTACGTTGCTCTTTGTTCCTTCTTCGCGCCGCAAGGCATACGACAGTTTGAATGATTGCTTACCCGATGGCGCTGCTTGTTGGCGAGGCACCGGCTCCACCATTCCACGCCCAAGGTCAGCGCGTTGTACACCGCAGATTAAAGAAGGGAGCGAAGAGCAGCGTAGTTGCTTTCGCATTCACAACTCATAAGAAGTGCTTAGCTGTGCCTCGAGCCTTTTTTTATTCTCTCCTATGGAAAGCTTGCTATTGTTATTCGAAGGCCGATGATGTCTCTCGGTGATATTTCTGTTCCACATGGGGCGTTCGGTCAACTCCACTGAAGCCCATTCATTAACTGCGACAACAGAATACCACGGCCGAATGCAATTCATGAATTGGACGCAGGCACTGCGTTAGAGCTCGGCTTGGGCTTGGCTATGGTCAGTGCCTCTGCAAATATTTGGGTTTGGGCTTGTCCCCAAATCTCGGAGCTCTTGCATTCCGCCAGCTTAAGCATGAGGCTGCGATGAGCATTGCTGGGACTGTTCTGCATCAGATTATGTGGTCATTTCTGGCTCCATGGTGATGCAGTTGATGCTGCTCTATTTTTTTCACTCCCTCTAACTTACAGGCTGTTGCAGCTAGCACATGACAGAAAGAAGCTAATCAGAACTGAGTACATTACGCACATCAACGACTCCTTCTAAGCAGTATGGAGCATAAATCAGGAAATTGTTTTATGGTCACTCTAAGCAGTCCCACTACAACTCTTTTTTTAATGAATCATCACATTTTTCAGTTTTTAGCAACAGTAATCAGACTAATTCCCAGTGTAAAGCCATTTCAGTATGAAACTGAGCTGTGGCCTCAGATTTCTGATCTCTTGGCATTGTTTTGTACTACTTGCAGATGACTTGGAGTTATCCGTAGACTTCTTCGAATACTTTTTAGCTCTCTATCCAATTCTCAAAAACGATCCCACGCTCTACTGTGTCTCGGCATGGAATGACAACGGGAAGGCAGGCTTAGTGGCAGAAGACTCCGGTAAGTTTTGGTCCACTTTTGTCCTAGAAACGTGCCTCCTCTCCATTCATATGGCATTTTTGAGGGCACATCTCGGCGCCCTCCTGCAAGGCTCGGGTACCCCTTGGCATGGACCTGGGATGTGCATTTGTCGTCTTGCACTCTGAAATACCTCGTAAAAAGGATGAGATTTCCGTCCTGCCATGTCATGTTAGGTAGCATCAGTTGGCCAGCAGAACATTGTTTTTTGGCTTCTTTTGGTCAGCTGACTGCATTTTGTATTGATTGCCTCCTTCTACCCTGTGGCTTACGGCCCAGATATCTAATAGTACTGTCGTGACCGGTTATAACAAAGTCACTGCGAATCGAAAATCGCTTCGCTATATCTGCTTCTTTGTTATATATGAACTCGTACAAATAACATGGAAAAAAAACAACGATAACACAGGCTGTCACGGGCACATGTTTATCGAGCCTGCAGAAAGCGGTCGAGGCTTCCCTGCATGCGTCCTCTGCTGGATCGGAGCCGCTTCTCGCCAACTGCAAGAAGCTCCGATCGAAAAAAGATCCTGCTACTTACAGACCGTAACGACAGCTGCGATGACCCCGAGGTGGTCGGCATTTTTTATGTTTATGCGCACTTTGTCGAGGATGGCACGCTTTTGATTCAAGGAGATTGCCTTCGTGTTCCCCGTCGAGGTGCCGGCAGTGCAGGGAATCTCCATCGTTGAGTGGCGATGATTCGCCATATCAGCGCTTGAGAAAAGTAGACTTTTGCGCAAGAGCAACTTCACCAACCAGATGCTGACACGGATCACAAAGCAATCAAGGAGATTGCCTTCGTGTTCCCCGTCGAGGTGCCGGTGGTGCAAGGAATCTCCATCGTTGAGTGGCGATGATTCGCCGAATCAGCGCTTGAGCAAAGTAGACTTTCACGCAAGAGCGACCTCACTAACCAGATGCTGACACGGATCACAAAGCAAACAAAGAAGTGTGCACGATACCGAGTTTGCACTCGAGCTTTTTTGTTGTCAGTATAAAGAGCCTAGGTTTAAAGGTGGGGCAACTGCTCGATCAGGGTCATGTGGTTTGTGCGCCGTCTTTGCAAAACGAGCTGCAGAATGCAAGGAGTCAAAACTCAAAAGCGTTAACCTTCTGCAAACGTGTCCGCCTCTCCGTCCAGCTTCCTCACCACACTGACCGTGCAAAAATCATATGCAGGCGTACTTAGTGCTCCTCTTTTAAATCTAGGCTCTCGCCGTCATCTCCGGCAGTATGTTGTCGCTAGCGCTCTGAATGCCCCTATCGGCATGCCACGACGGCTTCTCCTCGTCCGATGTGGTAAAGCTGCTTCCCAGATAAGGAGTGGGGAGCAGACGACGTTGCAGAGACTACTGCCGCTCTTCTGCGGCCTGTTTTGGGCGGCTTCTTGGCCGCGGCAGCTAAGTGCAGCGGTCCGAGACTTGGTAAACTTTCTGAATTATATTTCTTTTAGATTACCACAAAATTTTTCTTCACTATATTCATAGAAACCGCTCAATATCCTTCGCTAAAAACACACAAATGCGTTGAAAAGTGATAATGGGAATAAGAAATCGCTTTGCTGTAGCCGCTATTTTGTTATACAGTGTAGACCGCATATAACGTATGTCGCGGGAGTCGCGAAAATCCGCACTATAAGCGGTACCGCGTTATAACCGAAACATCAATTTTTCAGGCCAAAATGCATGCCATGAGACAACTTACCTTTGTAAAAGAATTTATTTTATGTTAGATGAAAAATAAAGCTTAGTTTGAGGAAAGTCTTTATTTTCACCAGACTAGTACACTTCTCTCTCATGTGTGTCACACATTTTGAAAGAAATGAGCGGCTTTTGCCTGGCGCAGCCTTTTAGCGGCATCGCGGATTGCGGACGGACGTTGCGAGCGTTCAGGATTGTAACCCTAATCACTTTTCTCCGGAGATGAAAACGCGTGAAAATTCGCATCCTTCATACGGTACGCGCCAGTAATACCTTGAACTTGAGCACACGCATGAAATACGCCAAATAAGAAATCCGGGCGATGTTCGACGACACAAATGCTTAGAAATCACCACTGTAGTCGAAGTAAACAAGCACGACGACACGGGCGTTTCTGCCGTCTTGAGAGCGCCGCCACGACATCGCCGCTCGAGTAGGTGGATCTTTCCTTCTAGTACGTGCTGGGTTATCATAGCGACACACAACGAAAATTCACTGTCAAGGATAGCGCTTTTACGCGGAACGATGAGATGAACGCCGTCTACGACGACGATCACGACGTTGACCACAACCGACGCCATGTTTGCGGATAGAAGCAGCCGGCCCGCGACCGGAGGAGGAGGAGAAGCGTTGTAATAGAGGTTGGGGGGGTAAAGGAGAGAGCCAATAGTGTGTACGCACTGGGCGCTCATGCAACGCGCGCGAACACTTCTCCTCGACCTGCGATTGGTCTGTCATTGCGGTTGTTGGAGTTGTTGGTTTCCAATGCAGCGGAGGGACGCACGCACGTCAACGACACATGCTTGCGTCGCTCCGTCGCTAGGGCAACTGAAGCCTCTCTCTTCGCTTCTCCCGCTTCTTCGAGCAACTTCCTTGCCCCGCGAGTGCCGCTTGCGCAACGCTTGCGGCTCGCGCTCGTGCCGTCAGCGCCGTTATCTATGTCGCACAGGGAAGCGTGCCCGCTGCTCCGGTCGTCGGCGCGGTCGGCGGGCTGTGCCAGAAACCGCACTATAACCGGTATTTCCCTTCGCGCGCCTGCGTTTTAAGTGGTATGTAATTACATGGAGTTCTATGGGAGGCGAATCGGTGGTTTAAAAAAACCGCGTTATACTCGGTCCTGCACTATAAGCGGTTACGTTGTAAGTGGTCTATACTGTATCTGACTTCGTTATAACCGGTCTTGACAGTACTATGTACTATTAAAACTAGGGTTTTGATATTTAGCCATAAGAACATGGTGGATGCTTGCTTTGGATATTTTTATTAGTGCCATGATCGCTTTCATTGAGACAGGACTGTTTCATTTTCAAATCGTGACAAAATGTCGAATCCCCTTATTGTAAAATATAGCGAGCGTGCGCTCGTGTTGCAGTAAGCGCCCTCTCCCACATATGAAACGTCTGAAATATTAGCAAAGGACATATCAAGCCCCCACCCCTGCAGACTTCGGAGCTCGCCGAGCGAACCGTGATGCGCCTCTGCGTCAGCTGCTCCTTTGAGAAGTCGGTGCAAGACGGCGAAGCTTTATGCAAGCCCGCGATGCCGAGCAGTGAAGTTTGACTCAAGAGTGTGGGCATGAAGCAGCCTTGTCGAGAATGGCACAGCTTGTTTGATCTGCTCTACTGGATCAAACAAGGGCCAAGCAAGAGCCTACCCCACCGTGTACCCCTTTTGTATTGCACTGTTAAAACTAACTAGTGCCTGTTTCTATTTTTCGTGATTAACTCCCACTTTTAGGTTTGACGCTTGCTCAGTAATTTATGGTATGTGAGGCTTCACCGTAACGTAGGGAATGACCCACGTGATTTTGCGGTGATCTCATTTCAGAACATCTTCATCGGTCAGACTTCTTTCCTGGCTTGGGCTGGATGCTCACAAAAGATCTCTGGTTGGAGCTACACACCAAGTGGCCCAAATCGTAAGTATTGTGTCTTTCCCGTTTACTGAAGCCTGCCACCGCCAACTAAACGAAGCAGTCTCGGTGTCGAGAACATTTCCGTTTTCTACAAGTCTAGCCGGCTGTGTCTACATTGTGCCATTTTGCGTGCTTGTTTTTTGCAAGCTAAATTTCTTTTCTTTTTGTTTTGTTATTGGCACGAACAGGTACTGTATTCACGGTGATCGCGATTCACACGTCAGCACAAAAGTGCGGAATGCACGGCGGCGTGCGCTACGGTCGCGCCGCACAGCAGTGCGCTGATTCCAGGCAGTGACGGCACATGCCGGAATGGCCGCTGGAACAGCCTCGCCAACTTCGCTCCCCAACTCTCGCCGTTTTTGCACGGCGTCACCATGCTGAATGGTGGCAGCTACGTTTCTCTGTATTGGCATGCGTGATCTAGGAGGTTTTAGTTTTTTGGCTACAGCGGACGAATTCAGGTGCATCCAACAGCGCAGTCCATTGCTACGGCGTGGGCGTAGCCAACAACATCGAGCTAAACGTCATCACCATTGCCCCCTTTTGCTTGTTTTTAATTCTCCGGGCAAGCGTAACGAGTGACGTCAGCAACGTTTCGTCTCGGCACTCAGCGGTGTCCGCGTGATTGGCATAACATGCCTGCGCAGTGCACTTCTTGGGAGCCGTCTGGTTGCCCCGCCGTAGTCCCGCCGTTATTGCCATCTCCTGCGTCACAACCACCGTTGTCATCTCAACGTTTGTGATTATTGTCTCTTAAGAGTTTTGTCCACACTAAGGACACTACGTACGCGAACTGATGCCGCAGTTGTGCAGGTGTCGTTGAATGTCAGACACCAAATTATGGTGAAGAGTGTAGTGCAGACGACACCTGTGCCTTGCAAACGCCCGCCCCTGTCCCGCCCGTTACTGCGTAGAGGATTACGTGACATCTCGTCCACGTGATAGCCATGTTTAAAATTAGATTTAAAAATATACATACCATTTTTTGCGAAGCAACTGACGTAGTGTCTTTCATTAGGGCTTTTTAATGCAGAATCACTCATTATCTTGAATTTTCGGAATTGAGCAGAGTTGCCCTTTAATTCGAAACGCCTTGCTGTCCCCGTGAGCTTTGAATTATCGAGAGTAGACCCTACAGTGGGTGTGCAACGAGAGTCACAAATGAACACAGCTGGAATTGGCTCGCAAAAGTGCCTTTTTAAGAATGAGCATTGGAGAGATCTGCAAAGTCCAAACTTCGCAGGGACCAAAAAAATATCCGAATAATAGAGAGGTCTGAAAAATCAGTAGATTAAAAACTTGCCTTTGTTACGTCTAACCAGGCTTAAAAAAGCCGTCTATAGTGCCTTGCTTTAGGTTATGCCTGCGTGCCTTGATTCAGGTTACGCCCTTGCTTGCTTTCGGCCACTTTTTATTAAAGGGTGTCTAGCGACCGGGAAAACCGGGAACTGTGAGGGAAATTTTAATTACCGGGAAAAATTGGGGAATTGTCAGGGATATTGTGATACAGCGAGCCCAGTCAGGGAAAATGAGCCCGACACGCCATCGAGTGCCCTGAGCAAAGACTTGAGGACTTCGGGCAGAAAAGTAGGCAATAAATTCTGCTTAGGGCGGTGCGCGGGCTCTGCTCATCCGATGTAGAGTCTGCTACATGATGCAAAGGGAACAGCCGACAAATCTAGTTCAAGCCTTGGATTAGATTGGTGTGGATTGAGGACTCGACATTAGGCTAGATCCAGTTATAGCTACTAGATTTAGTAACAAAGTGGAAAGCAACAGACCCCAATCCAATCCAAGCCCTAAGCCGAAAGTATCCGAAAGAGTGCATCTAGCGGCGGCCATGCGGCCATGCTGCCATTCGGTTATTGAGGTGTGTGGTTGAGCGTCATGTTTTCACCGTGTTTCCTTTTCGGAAGTGGACGAACCCGAATATTTTGGAATATGCAAGTTGGATTAAGCCCGTGCAAAATGATCCTCACAGTGTTCAATGCCCAATGCCTTGTGTTTAGTGTTCTTATATATTTAACCAGCCCTACAGTGATCAGGGATTTTCACCTGAACTTATCAGGGAAAGGTTGGAAAAATCAGGGAAATTCAACATAATAATTTGCTAGACCCCTGTCTTAGCTTGAGAATCGCTGCCTTCTTTTCTAGCGTTACGGTCTAGTACTTTCTGTGCTTCTTAGCGACACTTTGCAGCGGCAGAAGAACAGATGGGGCCATGACGTCCAAGCCAGTGTAGTCTGAAAAAACAATTCACTGAGATGAGATGAGAGGTGCAAGTGCACGACCGCAGAATGGCGAATGAACAAAGCAAAATGTAACAATGATGATGATAATGACACGCACCTAGAGAAAAAAAATCCGTAGCATAGCGTCATCTAAAGGTAGGACTTAGCGATACTCGAGCAGTGCTGCCAAACCAAGCCATTCCATGTGGAGCCATCATAGAATCTAAAATGGCGGCTTCTCGGTGATGTTTTCTGCTGATCGCTCACAACAGTTTTGTTTGAAAAATTTAACTTTCAGACTTCAAGTTGTTGAAAACAGTGGTCATCAACATGCACTATATCTATCGGGTAGGTCAAGGTTCCCCCTTTAGGTACAAAGTATCGAATATCGGCGTCCGAAAAATCGGTCGACGACTGTATGTGTACTGAGCATGATAACATAACCACTCACGACCTCCGACTGCGTTCCCTGCCGCAGGCTCACCACTCGCCATTTTGTCATCAGTGCCATGGTGCTCCTTAAATTTCTGAAACCACTGTTTGAAGTTATTGCATTCATGCGTGCAAGCAATGTCCCTGGCTTTGCTTGCTGCCCTTCAGAGCACCATCACACTCAAAAGCAAACATTACTTAGTGTGCATATTCACTTTTTTTTTTTATCTGTGGTGCACTGTACATCTCAAGGAAATCTTATAGGCAGCAATAGAAGCATAAAGAGTATGTCGGCATCATGGACATATAGGAGCTCACTCAGTTGAAGCGACGCATTACGGGAAGGGTAATCGCCTTCCGGCCTCCATTGCCACGGTCAAAGCCGTGATACGCGGTGGGAGTTGTGTACGGCTAGCTGTGACGTGATCAGTTCAGAAATAAGCAGATTACAATGTGTAGCTTGCATAAATAAGCATTCATTTCATGCTGAACCTCATACATGGTCAGTGAAAGAATGAAGAATAATAATATTGGACAACAGGTGTGCAAGAGGCTTTGGTAAAGTCGCCAGTTGACTTTGACGAACGGGAAGCACTCGGTTGGATTCAATGTTCCCACGCGACTAACTTCTGACAGGTGGCCGTGCATTCTCGTTGCTAGACTTTTACGTTACAAACTCACAAATTTGCCATCGAAAGGAGGGACGACGTCTAAATCTCGCAATATGCACGCTTGAGAAATTGGTCGTGACATTCCGGCAAATTTTTTTTTAACTGTTTACGGGGAGCATACCTAAATTAGAAACTTGTGAACGGTTAAATGGTGAAATGGGTTACACTGCATATGCCACGCGCATGCAGTCAACACTTATTGCATGTTTTGATTTATGATCGCAAACGGGAACGGCTGTTGGTGCGCAGCGGTTCTCAAACTTTCTACTTTCGAAGAGCCCTTATTTTCTTTGGTGGCAGCTGAGGAACCTATCCCGTCCTCGGCATTGATCCAATAAAGCAATATAGGAGACTATAAACCTCGTAAACAATAATACACATACTAGGATGTGTTGGGCTCATAGTTATACATTAAAGGGTGGCTCAGGTTTGGTACAATAGTGTTTAAACTAGGAAAACGCCATATTGAGAGGCTGGGGCGGTTGAGGAGAATCGGGAGCTCATGAACCCCTGTGCTTCTAGGAACCCAGTATTTGAAATCATTGGCTAGCAAATGATCATACTTTCTTCACACACGAGGTAACCATGCATTTCGATTTACTCTGCCTTTGAAACTTCATTTTGGTGAATGCTCAATTTGCTGAGCGTTCAACAAAATTGTTGCCACTACGAAGGTTCTTGAGGGTGTGCGTTTTCGGAGAGCTGTCCTCGCACACGCTCGCTTGGCTCAGCATGTGGACGTTGGTGTTAGAACACTCAAAGTAAGAGTAAAGTTCTCATTGGAGTGGAAAGAGACGCCAGTTGTCAGAAATCTTTTTTTGGGATTGCAACTGATGACATTGATGGCGAGGCAGTGGCAGCGACGACGACTTGAGGGAATAACTTGTTTACATCCATTCATGGAGGCCTGCTGATGACACATGCCTGCGACCGATGCTCAGGACGTCTCCCATCTAAAAACCTTCCCGCGATTAGTTCCAACTTCCATCCCGAAAGGAAACTGACATACCTTTTGCGCGGTGAAGCGGCAGGGTTGCTCGTGCCTGATTTGCATTTTCCCACTGGCTGCTTTGTATTCTTTGGAGAGGTGGTTTCTTTGTAATTCTAAAGAGCAGCAAATAACAAACAAACATTAAAAGAAAACAATTGTATGAAGCTAAACTGCAAGAGCATCACATGACACACACCAAGAACAACAGGTAAAAATATGCCTCTGCAAGCGCGGTGAAGAGCACAGACCCACAGCAATGACGGATAACAGGGCCGCACCAAAGCATGTAAAACAAGCCATTTAAAACTAGCCAGGTTGAATCCCTCTTAAGTCTTCTTCATCACCAGCACAGGATGGGTCATATGAAACTCCCATTTCTGATTGGCTGCTGTTGCTTCAAACATCATCTGAGTTGTTGGAGTTGCTCGCCCATTTTGAACCAGACTTGATCCTAACATTTTGCGTTGCTGTGCAACAATCTAGTTAATAACCCGAAAGGTGTGGGGAAATTGCCCTTTCTCAAGTGGACTTCAAAGAACCAAATTAAACCGACTGAATGACCACACCAGGGAGCAACCGTGCAAATCCTCCCATACGTTCCTCTCTGTGTGTGCGCGTGCTTTCTTTCCTGTTTTTCGCCGCGATGTTTCAACAATACTTTCATTGTGGTGCAGC